GGTGAGAAAAATAATGAAGCTACAACTAAACCGTTTCAATAGTAATCCTATAAAAGGTAATTTGAAACCCACCTGAGTCTAAACTGTTGGCAGGAAATATCACACTCATTTCACGTGGACTTTCCCAAATCTGAACAACTAATAAGAAAGAGCCCCGTATAAGGGACAATAACCTCCAAGATATTGCAGGGTCGGTTCCAGACCACCACAATAAAGTGAATAAAGCCTGTCACACAAATTTTTTGGTTTCACAGTGTATATAACAGTTGTATTTACACTGTATTGTAACCTATTAAGTGTGCAATAGCATTATGTGTAAAAAAATACTGTACATACTTTAATTTTAAAATATTTTATTGCTAAAAAATGCTAACAATCATCTCAGCCTTCAGCAAGTCCCAATCTTTTTGCTGGTGGAGGGTCTTGCTTGAAAATCACATGTGAATTGGTGGACGCTGGAAACAGATACCACTTTTAGATAAAAACACAACTACTGCGGATGGCAATACGACCTCTGAATTTTCTCAGAAGACCATCAAGAGAGGCCTCAAGCATTCAAAGAAGCAACACGCAAAGCAAATATGTTACTGAAAACTAACATGAGTTAAAGAGGAATGATTAATCCCACCCCCACACCTCAAAAACAAATCAGTGAGAAAAAAATTCTGAACCAGTAACTTCAAGCTTTAAGCTGCTGACGTGTGATTGCACATTAATAGTTCAAGAAGATACTCTGATGTTCAACCAGTTGGGTTTGGAGATGGAAACATAGGACATGAAAATTATATTTGATATTGGCATAAGTACATCATTAAACACAAAATTATATTGGGAGAAAATCATCAAGTGGTTTAAAACTTTACACACGTACGTTATCCAGGGCTTCAAGCTTCCCTAAAACCACCTTCTTTCTGGACAAAACTGAGAACGAGTTAGTAATTTAAACTTTTATGTCACTTTAGACCTGTCTTTTCTATTCTACCTCTCACTCTTAACCCTGTTTACACTCTTAATCCTGTTTACACACAGAAAATCACTTTTAGTCCCGAAAACTCTTAGAAAAACCCTGACAATAACATAACCCACAACCTAGAAGGGAGGCAGCCATGGAGCAAGCTCATCCCTTTGGAACCATACAAAAACTGACCTCCGCCAAAGGGAACAGTCAGGGTGCTTAGGTGGCCAGAGAAGATAACGACATGGCCCCTAAAGTATTAAAAGCACCTTCTTTCCAGAAGTACCTCCGAATTGCCAAGGACCTCGCCCAAAAAGAGAGATTGGTCGAAGTGAAAATCTAAACCTAAGGAGAAGGCAGAGAGTGGGATCCCGTCACAGTAGGAAGGTAAAGAAGACAGAAGTAAAGGACAGACGGGGAGAGAAAGGACAAAAGTTCAAAATAAAGGGGTAGAGGAAGGACAGGAGCCAGAAGAATGGAGCGATCTGAAAGGTGTACGTCCTACTCACTGGTAGGCCTGTTTCGGACTCCGCTGCATGAGAGGGCGGCTGGACTTCTGCGTCCCCCGCCT